GGAGGGAGAGAAGCCCTCCTCGCTATCTCACCTGCAGGTAGCTGTCACTTGAACTGACTTCGTCCGTTGCTATGTGCAGGTACCGCGTGGAGCCCGGCTATGGTGCCAGGTAAGCTCGCCGACTGCAGGTATGGCCTCTGCCCTCTCCTATCTCCTCTAATCGCTACTCCCTACTCCTCTACCTAGCGCAGCATAGCGCTGCCTCCAGCCAGCAGCGTGTCGCTCAGAAGTGAGCTACTCGAACTGTCCGTTGCCCAGCTTCTGCCCATCTATATGTAGTGCTGGGCCGCTGGGCCTACCTGGTACTGTGTGGCCTAGAACGGCCCAGGTGGTCTGGGTTCCTACCGGACGTCCAGACCCTGCTGCTGCTGCAGCGTGGCGCAGAAATGCGCCTGGCCTAAAAACGGCTGTCTACCGGTGCACCTGACCCAAGGTGCTATCTTGGGTCCTGCAGGACCGAAACGACGCCGGTTTGGCGCCAAAATGCGCCTGGCCTGCCTCCGGTGTACCTGGTCCCAAGGTCCGGCCTTGGGGCTGCAAGTCCGAAACGGCGCCTGAACAGACAAAAATAAGACAGCACACACACACAGAAAAAGGGTAAGTAATCGAAAACCTACCTACCTACGTGCTGCCTAAGGCCTGGAGGGCCGTCGTGGGCCTTCAGGGCGCGTGCTGGACAGTACGTGGCCTGGGGGCCCCTCAGCAACCGTCGGGCCCCTCAAATGGGGCCCGTGTGCAGGCTCAGCATGCAACACTTCGTCTTCGGGCTCACTGCAGACCTCCTTGCACAAGTCGCTGTGGCAGCGCTTCCGGATGGCTCACGCAGGAATGAATGAATGGCTGGGCGCTGCCTCTTGATTTATACTTCTGCAGTGCGTTGGTCTGGCCCCTTCCCATGCCCGAAGTGCACACAGTCCCATGCGGTACTTGCTCGACTGGACCAGGACGGCCTAGGACTGGGACTGCTGACTCAGCACGGGCAGACTCCACCACTTGCCTTACCGCTTGCACACTTGCCTCAGCTTAGACGTGGGAAACTTTTATGGCCACTGTTCGGACCTTCCGCCGTAGACTTGGCCTTTCGATCCTGTAGCAGCTGCGACCTTGACCTCTCTAGACTGCAGCGGCTACGACCTTGACTCTTTGAGAAGACTACAGCTACGACCTCTAGACCTGACTGGGACCCTATCTGACAGGTCTACAGATCGAACCCATGCTACCTAGGGACCCTATGACAACCTACCAACTGCTACAAATACACAGGTCGCGGGTTCAACTCTACGGGTCGACACAGGTACTGTACACAGGTAAGGTGGGGGCTAGGGATTGAGCCCTGGGATCTGCATCAGCTACTGCGAACAGGTGAATACCGTTTCACAAGGCCTGTAGGCCCTTGTTTTCAGGCTTTTAGGCTGAGAACGCGGGTCGGGCCCTGCAGGCCTGTGTGGCTGCGCAGTATGCCACATGGAGCCTCTCCTCAGGTGCTAATGGTGTCTGCTCTTATCATTACCACTATCACTGGAGGGGAAAAAAAAAAAAAAAGAAAAGAAAGAAAGAAGGCCTGCCGAGGAGCCACATCCTCGCACCTCCTCTTTTTTTATTTCTAACAATTTGGGTTATTTTTCCCAGGCTTTTATGAACCTTTGCGTTACTCAAGTCATTGATACTGTTATTGCTATCAGATCTCTAAATTACTTTATTATTATTCACGAATAACAGTGCGCACACCTGTATGGTTGGTTGACAATGATGCACACAGGTTTCCGGATGCGAAGATCATCTCCTTGGAACCCAGCAAGAAGAACTATGAGACATTACTGTTGAATGTGAATGGCTTTGGCAACGTGATCCCCCTTCATGCAGGGCTGTGGAAGAGTATGTCTCAGCTCAGACTCGTCAACTGCACCACCAATGGGAACAGCTGGGAGAGAGAGTGGGGATTCCAGGTGGAGGAGGTAAGTAACTGGAATGAAACGGAAGCAGAATTTATCATGACTGGTCTGACCGTAGAATTCCTGCTGCGCCTCTTTGACTTGCAAAGCTTTGACTTTGCGAAGATTGATATTGAAGGATCTGAAAAGGAACTGTTCACGAGATCGGAAACGAATACTTTGAAGTGGATGGAGAGCACATCTCTGTTTATGGTAGAAGTGCATGACATGATGAGAGCAGGTGCTAAGGCTATTGTTGATGGGGTTTTCAACAAGAGTGGTGATAACAAATTTCACATGCTCAAGGACTATGGCATGTTCCAAGCATGGACAAACACGCGGTTGATTCCCACTTCAAGTTAATGAATGACTTCTCATATGGATACCAAAAGGCGATGTGGAGGACTTCATCCTTATCTATATGGCAGCAGAATTCACAGGATATGTCAATAGCAAGGCGCTGCAAGGGCTCCTGTCGTGGACCAACACATGGTTGGTTTCCAGTCTAAATGAACATCTTCGTTCTCAGAAATGGAGTGGCGGCTACTACTGTCGTGGACCGACACATAAATGAATGGTCCACACCGGTTGGTTTTGACTCTAAATGAATGGCGACTTCTTCTTTGAACAGAGCGGACGATGTATCACATTGCTATTTGCGGTAGGGAATCACGCTGAGGAAATCAATTGCTGTCATGACCAACTCATGGATGGATTCGACTTCAAATGAACGGCTTCTTTCCTGGAAACGGAAAGAGGAAGTATGCATCATTACTCATGTGGTGGTAGAAGTTCTGGTTATGTTGAGAAATGACTGCTCTTGTCATGGACCAGTATGTGTTTGGTTTCTTCTCCAAATGAACTGACTTCAGAAACAGAGGTGGAGGATGGATGGCAATGCTATTCATGATGGAGAACTGGAGGATCTGTTGAGAGCGCATGACTGGTTTCCACTCTAAATGAATGGCGACTTCTTCTTTGAACAGAGCGGAGGATGTATCACATTGCTATTTGAGGTAGGGAATCATGCTGAGCAGATCAATTGCTGTCATGACCAACTCATGGATGGATTCGACACCAAATGAACGGCTTCTTTCCTGGAAACGGAAAGAGGAAGTATGCATCACTACTCGTGTGGTGGTAGAAGTTCTGGTTATGTTGAGAAATGACTGCTCTTGTCATGGACCAGTACGTGTTTGGTTTCCACTCCAAATGAACTGACTTTCAGAAACAGAGGTGGAGGACGCATGGCAATGCTATTCATGATGGAGAACTGCAGGATCTGTTGAGAGCGCATGACTGCTGTCATGGACAAATACAGGAATGATTTTCACTTCAAATATATTAGCAGAGTGGCACGTGGACAGTAAGTGAAGTGGTTGAGGCTCGCATGAGTAGAGGTAGTAGGAAGTAGATTAGGGCAGGTCATACCACTAGTAGAGCTGCTAGATTGTTGTTCCTTTGATGATTGGAGGTGAAAGTCGGGCTTCCTTTATCAAGAGACTGCAGTGTTCTGTTTGCTCCTTGTTGGTGTGCGTTCAACTTCGGTCTTCTGTTTGCTCCTGTTTGATATTCTGTGAGATTTTGCATTCGTGAATATTGGTGTTCTCATTTCGTTTTGGAATTGGAAAAAGTCCATAAGGGTATAAAATGAGAGAAAGTGAAAGACAGACCAATTTCAATGCTCTTCTCATGACAAGACATGAAACCTGATATCTGCCCATCGTGGGTTTCCTGACAGTCACGCATCCAACCTACTAACCTGAACACATTGCTGGGGGGATTTGCATCCTGCTGAGTTTTTTATATGCCATCTTTCGAAATGAGATTGTCCAAGGATGCAGTGCAGGAGCACTGACATTTACAGAATTTACCCTGTTTGTCTTTCTCTCTTTATTTTTGGACAGTGTTGAGCCTGTTTTAGTGGCTTGGAGTAGTTTTTGGATCACAGCTAGCTAACCCGTATTTTGTATGATGTGAAGGGCTTGTGTGAGGGGATAATGCTTGTGGGAGGTGATAACGTTCGTGCGAGGATTGGACCCGTTGCATGGGGCCACTGAAGCCCTCACGAAGCGGCGAGGCCTGAGACAGACATGGGGGCCTGCTTTTTGGGCATTTGGCGGACCCCTCGCCCCTTACAATTTGTTACAGAGTGGAGGGCCCCTTGGCAATGTGTGCATGTGTGACCGGGAGGTGAGAAAGGCCCGAAGGCTGCAATGTTGCATGTAGCGAATTAGCCAATTAGGAAGCAGGAGACAGTGTGTGCCACGTCACACAGTTGGGGCACATTAACGGATTCGGCCCTAGTGCAGCAGCTGAATAGGCCTGGGCACAGACACTGGGAAAGGCTGCCAGCTTGAAGGGCACCAGTAGCAACCACCCACTTTCCATATAGGAAAGGGCTTGCAAATAGGAAAGGGCTCGCGACTAGGCAGTGGGGTTGGCTGGTTGCCATATGCAGCAGTGCTGCTGGTGTGCAACACAACGACCAGCCAAGGCGCACACGGGGGCTGAGGAGAGACGCAGCTAAGCGCTGCTTGGCACGTCGGCCATAGCCAGGACGTACGTGCTTGGAAGCCGGTGGAGTTGGATAGTGGTCCTTGGACATGGAGGTTGCCTGTGCGGGGTCGGACAGGGGTTGATCGTGCGGAGAGAGAGGAGGACGTACCAGGTGTGTAGCGAAGGTCTGCCTTGGCAACAACTTTGTGTACATCGGTTCTGCTGCTAAAGTTCTTATGGTTGCATCATTGTAGAGTAGGCTAGGATAGGAGTCGTGAGTCTGTGGTTGGGCACCAGGCGCCAGTAGTGAGGAGCGACACTGGATATTCTGTCGATGGCGGCAAGACAAGGGGCTGGCAATCACAACTGAATTCATTGTCCTGCACTTCTTTTGGTGTATACTTGGTGCATTCTACTTTCTTTGCAGCACACGACTCTCTCGTTCTTCAATGTGATAATGCAATTTGGGTTTATGTCATTCGGTCGCACTCATTTTCCTTGCACTTGCAAAGGATTGCGGATGATTTTTTCCCAGTTCATCCTTCCCTTCTTTTCTCAACTCACTGCTGCTTTGTTGGATGCTGAAGGGCCACAGCAATGTGATGCCCCTGGGGTGAGGTACCGCGGAAGAGTTTTTCTCATCTTATCTGTGCCCTCCTCTTTTTTTGTTTCTAACAATTCGGGTTATTTGTAGTCTTACCAGGTTCTTATGGACCTTTGCCTTACTTAAGTCATTGTTACTGTTATTGCTATCATATCTTTAACATCCATTATTATTGTTGACAAATAACAGTGGACATACCTGTATGGTTGGTTGACAACGATGCACACAGGTTTCCAGTTGCAAATATCATCTCCTTGGAACCCAGCAAGAAGAACTATGAGACATTACTGTTGAATGTGAATGGCTTGGGCAACGTGAACCCCCTTCCTGCAGGGCTGTGGAAGAGTATGTCTCAGCTCAGGTTCGTCAACTGCACTGTCAATGGGAATAGCTGGGAGAGAGAGTGGGGATTGCAGGTGGAGGAGGTAAGTAACTGGAATGAAATGGAAGCAGAGATTATCATGACTGGTCTGACCGTAGAATTCCTGCTGCGCCTCTTTGACTTGCCAAGCTTTGACTTTGCGAAGATTGATATTGAAAGATCTGAAAAGGAGATCTGAAACCAACACTTTGAAGTGGAAGGAGAACACATCTCTGTTTATGGTAGAAGTGCGTGACATTCATCTCTGTTTAAGGCTATTGTTGATGGGGTTTTCAACAAGAGTGGTGATAACAAATTTTACGTGCTCAAGGACTATCACATGTTCCAAGCATTGACAAACACGCAGTTGATTCCCACTTCAAATTAATGAATGACTTCTCATATGGATACAGAAAGGCGATGTGGAGGACCTTATCCTTATTTATATGGCAGCAGAATTCACAGGATATGTCAATAGCAAGGCGCTCCAAGGGCTCCTGTCGTGGACCAACACATGGTTGGTTTCCAGTCTAAATGAACATCTTCGACCTCAGAAATGGAGTGGCGGCTACCACTGTCGTGGACCGACACATAAATGAATGGTCCACACCACTTGGTTTCCACTCTAAATGAATGGCTACTTCTTCTTTGAACAGAGCGGAGGATGTATCACATTGCTGTTTGAGGTAGGGAATCGTGCTGAGCAGATCAATTGCTGTCATGACCAACTCACGGATGGATTCCACTCCAAATGAACGGCTTCTTTACCGGAAACGGAAGGAGGAAGTACGCATCACTGCTCATGTGGTGGTAGAAGTTCAGGATATGCTGAGAAATGACTGCTCTTGTCATGGGCCAATACGTGTTTGGTTTCCACTCCAAATGAACTGACTTTCAGAAACCGAGGTGGAGAATGCATGGCAATGCTATTCATGATGGAGAACTGCAGGATCTGTTGAGGGCACATGACTGCTGTCATGGACAAATAGATGGATGATTTCCACTTCAAAAGAACAACTTTTCTTCTTGGAACAGCAGAAGAGGACCCATGGTGATCTAGTAGTAATTTTGTCCCTGGTAGAATTGCGGGATATGTTTATTTAGAACAGGTGCCACAGCTGTTGTCAATGGGTAGGGAGTTCCGAGGATTGTAATTTGTGATGGCAGATGTACAAGGGGAATTTGGTGGCTGATTTGCATGATGCGTTGAGCCTCACTGCTTGATACCACGAGCGTACACACACAGATTAAGAGATCACACGAATTCCACGCTGAAAACCAGATATGCGCAGCTTAGACTTCCCAACAAATTATCACATCAAACAGTTTTGAAGATCCAGCAACCCAATACCAGCGTCCTCGTCACAGGTAGGTGACTCTCTTCTCTTCCTCTCTTATCTTCCTCTCTGTCTTCCTCTCTCTCTCTCTCTCTCTCTCTCTCTCTCTCTCTCTCTCTCTCTCTCTCTCTCTCTCTCTCTCTCTCTCTCTCTCTACCCCTTCTGGTATCCCTCATGCATGAGATCTCACTTCCTCTCTCTCTAACTCCTATCACTAGCTATGTGGGTATGGCCGCGCTCCCTCTCAGTGCAGCGCTGCCCCAGCAGCACTTCCAAACTTCGCACGAATGAGGAATCTGTCCAAAATGAGGCTGGCCAGTCCTTATATTGACATGGACTGAGCTTCAAATCATTCCAGCGTCTGCTTCTTGCGGCTTGACTTGGTCCTGGTACCACGTGCCCACGACCTGCGTGCTTCAGAATGTCAAGGCCTGGTATTTTTCCCGAATTTTCATTGGTGTGCTGCTGCTTGGGCCTGTGAGTCATGGCTTTTCACCTGTGGAACATGACTTCTGACTGTGGGATGTGACTCTTGCGTCTGGGACACAACTTTTGCCTGGATAAGTATCCTTTGCTTGTTGGGTATGACTTTTCAATATGGCTTTTCAATATGAGATGTGACTTTTGCTTATAGAATGCAACCTTTGCTTCTTGGATGTGACTGTTCACCGGGTGCCTGTTGGACTTGACTCCTAAGGTAGCCGACTGTGATGTTTCTGAAACTGACCGACTTAGCCTGAGACCTTGAACCCAAAATTCGAATTTGGTGTCTGCATCGTGGAATGCCTTTCACCCTTGCCGGCCTAATTTCGAGGTCCTCCGAGAAAAAGATAATTTTTACCTATCAACTATAATCATAGTATAATGTTGATTCCTCGCCTAGCTCTCACATAGTAAGACACTATGTGCGGTGCTGTTTCAATTAGTTCATCCCTAGTAAACCAGCGATCTGCAGAAGGCTGTTGATAAGCAAATCCGACTTGTACTGCCGCTGGGGTCTACCCCTGCGCCCCGATCTATTAACATCCTCAGCAACAATGCGGTCCACATCATATTTGCCATCCATATCAGGAGGAATCATAGATCTGCGAGACGGAAATAGCTCATTGCTGACACAAGGGAGCAACTTAGAGGCATGAAACACCGGATAAGTGTGTAGATGCGGAGGAATCTCAACAACGTAGGAAGGACCAACCACATCACCAATCAAATCGAGAATCTGCCACGGTCCCCTATACGCAGGCAATAACTTCTGCGAACTGTTCTCTTCATGGAGAAACTCTTTAGACCTCACCTAGACCAAGTCCCGTACTGCGAACTGCGAAGGTCTACGGTGTTTATTTGCTTGTTCTATCATCTGATGTTGTGCCTTTCTGATATTCTCTTTCACACTTTCTAAGTCTTTCTGATATTGCACAGCGAACTCTCTAGTCCCTGGAGGAAGCCTTTGTACTTGATCAGGTTTCAAACAGTCAATGGGCCTGCGTGGACACCAATCCAAATGCAGTTCAGTGGGCGTTCTTGCAGTAGCCAAATGCACAGAATTATAATGGGCACTAGCGACCTTAGCTAGATGTTCATTCCAGTCAATCTGATCTGGTTGGATGTACATGCGCAACATTTGTTGTAGCACTTTTTTCATCTGCTCGGTCGGTCCATTTGTCTCAGGATGTCTGCCCGTGAACATTGTATCCCTATCACTTATGATAGTCAAGGGATGCCTGTTGTCCTTTACCCAATGATTGAAGAATTCCCAAATCACTAAGTCTGTCCTGGCTTCAGCAGGGAGTAGCACAAAAACAGCAAACTTGCTAAATCTGTCCACTATCTCCATAACTTGGCCTTTCCCATTCCTGCTTCTCACTTGAGTGTCCATAAAGTCTATTGACATGGAGTCTCGGGGACCCTACGATATAGGCAGCGGTCTAAGTAAACCAAGGGGAGGCTGTGTGGTACTCTTGTTTCTCTGACATACTTTGCATCCCTGAACATAGGCTCTGCAGTCATGTTTCATTCCAGCCCATGTATAAGAACGTAGGAGGTTATCATATGTTTTCCTCCACCCGAAGTGTCCCTCAGTGTTGTGACATTCCCCTAGGATTAGACTGAGAATCTCCTCACTTTTTGGTATGCACAGCCTGTCGTGCACATCTGTTTTCTCAAATAGTAGTCCTTGGGTCACTCTCTAAAGTTCGGAACTTCGTGTGGTGCTGTTTGCACCTTGTCAATCAATTGACTATAGACTGGATCGCTAGTGTAGGCGGACCTAATCTTCTCTTGTAATTCGGTGCCTGCGTCTAAGTATGTTGCCTCGTTGGCATGTCTGAACCCTCGAAAGTCGAGTCTGGATCCAATGTCACCAAGCTCTGTATCTCTTCTCTCATAGTCTGCAGATGCAGTGAAGTCGGAAGTGAGAGGGTAAGAAGAAGATGGGGGACTGAGAAGAGGAAGAAGAGAACTCTCTCTCTCTCACTGTTACGAACCAGGTACTAACCTGTGATGTTGGCGCTGTGCTGCAGGTACCTCGAAGACGAAGCTGGAGCAATGGCGCTGCAGGTAAGTGATCTCTGGCCTCCGCCCATCATCTCTACCACTACCTAGCTATGGCGCCTAGCGCTGGAGACTACAGCTACCTACTGCGCCCAGCGCAGGAGACTACTAGCTAACGCTACTCTACTACAATGCAGCGCTCCCTCCAGAGTGCTGCTCCCGAATCCTGAAGACTACAACTGCAGCGCGTGCACACACGGGCCATTTTGCAGGCCCGACGGCCATTTTGCAGCCCCGACTGGATTCAGGCCAAAACTCTGGATTTCAGGCCGAAAGCCTGAAATTCAGGGCTTACAGGCCCCATTTCGGTTCAGGCCGAAAGCCTGACTTTCAAGGCCTGCAGCCCCTGCGACGGTTCAGACTAAAAATGGTAATAGCATTTTTAGCCTGAACCCAAGGGCCATTTTCGGTTGTTCATCAGAACGACCGCTCCTGAAACCCAGGCACCGAACCAGGGTTTTGGGAACAGCCTATATTTAGACTGTTCCCACGCCTGCCTCAAGCAGGCTGCTGCACGCCAGCCCGTGGCACACTTCGGCATTGGCAAGAGCTGCCTCCTCGGCCTGCTCGCCCTCCTGCAGTCGGGAGGCAGGCCGAGGAAGTACATAGGACTTCCCAGGCACTTCCGAGGTAGGCAGTTCGGCAGTTGTAGTCTTCAGGATTCGGGAGCAGCACTTTGGAGGGAGCGCTGCGTTGTAGTAGAGTAGCGTTAGCTAGTAGTCTCCAGCGCTGGGCGCAGTAGGTAGCTGTAGTCTCCAGCCCTAGGCGCCATAGATATTTAGTGGTAGAGATGATGGGCGGAGGCCAGGGGTCACTTACCTGCAGCGCCGTTGCTCCAGCTTCGTCTTCGAGGTACCTGCAGCACAGCGCCAACATCACAGGTTAGTACCTGGTTCGTAACAGTGAGAGAGAGAGAGTTCTCTTCTTCCTCTTCTCAGTCCACCATCTTCTTCTTACCTCTCACTTCCGACTTCACTGCATCTGCAGACTATGAGAGAAGAGATACAGAGCTTGGTGACATTGGATCCAGACTTGACTTTCGAGGGTTCAGACATGGCAACGAGGGACTATTTGGGATTGGTGACCAAGACTTGGTGTTAACGACATTCCCATCTTCTTCCCTCCTTTCGTCTGTTCCTTATCTCTTCGTCTGTGTATGTCTGGACCTGGCGCTTTCTTCCTGTGTGCAGCGCCAGGCTCCCGCACACTTCGTGATGGGTACAATGCATGTTTAGTCTGAGTTCAAACATTGATTGGGTTAGTTAGAGGTACTCTAGCATTCTGCTTCGTTACTCTGAACTACGTGAATGAGGTCAGTCCTGTCAGATCAGTCTTGTATCAAAGTCTTCCCTGCGCTCTTCAGCATCTTTATGTATGAATGAGAATGTACATTGCTTGTCGAGATTCTACTCGTACCGCATTGTCAATTCAGTCCTTTTCATCACATTGCAGATTCTCGGTTTATTACGTACATTGCGTATCTGTGCATGTAACAGTTGGTATCGGAGCTTTTGCACGTGAATCAGGACGATCTGATCTGACACGTGTGCGGGGATCAAGAAGCTAGTTAGTCTTTTCTGTTAATTAGGACATACTAGTTAGACCCCAAAATCACGATCTTGACCTTACTACAAAAAAAAAAAATCGAAATTTTTTTCTTTTCTCGGATTTTATTTTCTCGCTATTCTGCTGTGGAAAATCGCTATATCGCAACATCTGAAATTCCTATTTTCGTTTCTCTTTCTGAAAATTCGAAATTTCGTTGTTAAAAATCCGGTATATATTTCTTTCTTGAAAATTTTGATTTTCTGTTGCATTTCCCGTACTTAGAACTTTGGAATATCTTCTTTTCTGAATTTCGTTTTTCTGAAAACGGTACGGGAAATACCTCCTGCACATATTATTTTTTTACTGCGAATATTCCCATCGGAATAAATCTGAATACTTGTCATTTCTGTTCGGACTTTTTTTCGCAGTTCTTGGATTCTGTCAGTTGGTTCTACAAATCGGTTGCAGTCTAAAGTCGAATTTTTTTTCGCTTTCAGAGATCATTTCGTACTTCAAGGGAGATCGGGAGACCTACCGAACTTGCAAAAATCGGGATTTTTTAAGTTTCTCGAAATTTTTTTTTTGCAAAGTTCAAAACTTTTCTGGTTTGATTAGTGGCTCCTTATCTAAGTGTGAGTTGGGCGATTATCCCACCCACCCCTCCCCACCTATGTTGTTGCCATCTCTCGCCTTGCCGTTTCTGTTTGTATCCGGGTACCCCCTGCGGCGGCATTGGTAAGTTGCCACGTCAGCAGGACACGTCAGCAGACCACGTCAGCGGGACACGTCAGCAGGCTACGTAAGCACGTCAGCAGGACACGTCAGTATTGCCACGTCAGCAGCAAGGGATACCACATCAGCAGGCACTGGTCTGGTCTATGCTGTTGCGTTCACAGACAGTAGTCATGGACCAGAAGGCCGGGAAAACAGGCGAGGCCTATCAGGCCGGCATGTTAGCTTGGAGTACCGAGACAAAGAAGCGGGTAGATGACACTGCCGCAGCAGCCAAGAAAAGGGCAGAGGATGCTGAGCAGACACGTCTGCTGGCCGTGCAACAACAGCGCCAGCACGACGAGGCAGCAGCAAGGGCTGCCAACGAAGAAAGGACACAGCATCGTGAGAAGATATTCACCAGAGAGCGGGCATTACTTACCATGGCTGCAGAATGGCGAAGCGAGGCCGAGAACAGCCAGTTGGAGGACAGCGCAAACAAGATAGCGCTCCTCCTCTCGCATCTCACGGATCTCCTGGCAACCTGCATTACACAGCAGGCGAAGATCCTTGTTCTCGACAACTCGGTAGCTCAGCTCCAAAACCGCCTTCAGCGGGTGGAGCAGCGACCAGTCGCCGCCGCCGACGCAGGCTCTTCCAATACTGCCGACCGCCTCACCGCATTGGAGATGTGCGTCGGCTCCCTCCAGGATGGCGCACAGTTACAGCAGACCGCGACGCAACAATTGCAGCAGCGGATCTGCACTACCGCCACTACCTCGAGTCTTGAGCCGCGCGAGACAGCTCCTAAGTTCGATGGGCAGGAGATCTTCCGCGACTCAATCAAGACAGATCCAATTCCGTGGTTTCACAAGTTCGAGCTCACGCTGCAGCTCCACAACGTCAAGGAAAACAAGCACCACGCTTACTTGTACTCTCGCTCAGGGGGCGCGTGTCAGGCGTGGTTGGACAACTTGTTGTCTAAGTACGGAGTGGTAGCAGCGGACTTGCACACCATGATCAGCTGGGATGATCTGAAGGCGGCGTGGCACAAGCGGTTCCAGGTGGAGCTGCCAGAGATCAAAGCCATGGACAAGCTCATGGTCTTCGAACAAGGCACGCTGCCGAGTACGGACTGGATCGCCGAGTACCAACGCTTGACGTTAGTCCCAGACATCCGGATGGGATTCAAGGCCATCCGCCACTACTTCATCTCAAGGTCATGTCTAGCATTGAGCAGTGCCCTGACGCACGTCGAGGACACCTTGACGACGACGGCGGAATTATTCGACAAGGCTGCGCAGATCATCGTTACAAACAAGGAGGCCAAGAACCTCTGTTTATCTGCGTCAGGCCTGATTGGGAACCAGCATCGGCCACGAGTGGCCGTGGTCGCAGCGGCAGCGCCGTTAGACCAAACAAGCGAGGCTGCGTCTGCCAATGAAGGAGACAGATTCGCAGCCGTCCGGGAAGGTGGCCGCGCCGGCAGAGGCCGAGGGCGAGGGAAGCCGAAAACACACACCGTTTTTAGCCCCAGGCCCGGTGCAGCTGCTCAGACAGGCCCATGGACCCCGTATGGCATCTCCGAGTACGCATACAAGGCGCGCGAGAGATTCCACTATTGCCTTTGGTGCAACAACGATCTTCATCAGACGGAGGTTTGCCCATTGAAAGGCAAGGGCAGACAGGGAAACTGAGCACCGCCGAGAGTGACGCGACGACACTCTCGACGCCTTCTGAACTGGTTTCTTCGCGAGTGACCAGCTTTCATTCCGAGGCGCACGTTGAAGTCGACAGTCCTCCGCTTCTATTTTCTTTTGAGGAATATGCTGCCCGGCTCGTTCGAACGCTGGGTACTCAAGCTCAAGGACAAGGAGCGTGTGCGGTTTCTTCTCCGTCCGACAACAACGACATATCGTCTTCAAGTGGTTCGTCACGGGATTCGGCGCGTGAGTTCAAGATAGAGGTTTTGGACCCGCTCACGTTTGAGGACTTTGCATGGCTTCCTCTCCCGACCACAGGCTGTTTGCCGAGACCACAATGCGCAGCACTTAGCGCTCATCTCCACACTTACCTTTCCTAGTATGCACTACCAACTTCGCCGACGGATGACGAAGTCGCGGTGGGGGACATCCTGGCGTACGTTACCAAGATGGCCCGCGAATTTCGCACGCAGCGGTACGATAACAACAATGCACCGCTCATGTATGTCTGCATCCAGGTTGGGCAACCGTCCTGCAACGCTTTGCTGGATAGCAGCGCAACTTGCAACTTCATGAGCCAGTCTTTTATGCGAAGAGCTGGCCTTGGCGCACAAGCTCGGAGAAAGGCAAACTCGACGACGATCAAGTTGGCGGATGGACAGACGCAGCAACTACTCGACCGTTACATCGAGGCCGTACCGGTCTACTTCGCACCTCATGCATGCGAACCGGTGACATTCGATATTCTCGACACGGACTTCGACATCATTCTGGGAATGCCTTGGCTTGCAAGTGCGGATCACACGGTCAACTTCCATCGGCGGACTCTTAGCGTTCGCGACGCCTTCGGCGCGGAAGTGGCGTGTACGATTCCTCTATCGCATTCTTCGATCCCGTGCCAAGTGGTGACGGCCAAATCATTCCGGGCGACTTGTGCTTACGAGCAGCCCGAGGAGATCGGCATATGTTTCCTACGGACCATCGCGGTAGCCGACTCTTCACCCACGGACTTGTCTTCGGACCCCCGTGTGGTACGGTTGCTGGACGAGTTCGCCGACATTTTTGAGTCACCTACCGGTGTGGTGCCGGGTCGGCCGATCTCTCGCGAGATCATTCTTGAGGCCGGTGCCGTGCCACCGAAAGGTTGCATCTATCGGATGAGCGAGGAGGAGCTTGAGGTACTCCGCGCACAACTCGACGATTTGTTGGCCAAGGGCTGGATCCGCCCGAGTAGCTCCCCATATGGAGCACCAATTCTCTTCGTCAGGAAGAAGAACAAGGATCTACGATTGTGTATCGACTACCGCAAGCTCAACGCGCAAACCGTCAAGAATGCGGGGCCTCTTCCTCGCATCGAYGATCTTCTCGAGCGACTRGGCGGTGCGAAGTATTTTTCCAAGTTGGAYTTGAAATCAGGATATCATCAAATCTCGATTCAGCCGAACGATCGCTACAAAACCGCATTCAAGACGCGGTACGGGCATTTTGAGTGGGTGGTCATGCCTTTTGGCCTCACCAATGCCCCGGCGACGTTCCAGGCGGCGATGACCAATGAGTTCCGTGCAATGTTGGACCGGTTCGTGCTGGTCTACTTAGACGATATTCTCGTCTACAGCCGGACAT